CAAGGGTCAAAGATCAGAACATTAGGGGAGTTTCAAGCATGGTTTCTATTCTACATTCCCTCCCCAGAAAAATCATGCTGTAGTTGATTAAAACTGGTGAACTGTGGAGCCGAGATGAGTGAGTGAACATTTTTTAAATGATGTTGCTGGCTTCTGAAATTAAACGTAGTAGGTGAGAAGGGTCAATGCAGATTTGGAAAGATACTTTGCAGCTGAATGCTGAATTTGTCATGTGCCTAAGCCTTGTATTGAACAATGTTGAACTACCTAAGTCTAACTTTTCTATAGTTTTTGGAGAGTGATCTTAAATAAAATCAGTTATCAAAAGCAGGGCCTACTCATACTGAGGTCAGTGGGGGGTTTTGCTGCTGGCCTTATTAAAGCAGCCTTGATAAAAGTTCAGAAGCCTGTAATAATGCTTAGGTATTTGTTGCATGGACCTAATGCTTTAATTTACTATTTGCCACAAGCAGATTTACAAGGGGGCTTAGGGATCTGCAGCTCCTGCTCACTAGTACAGCCTGGTCTGGGTCACATCCCAAACATATAAGCAGAGAAAGAAGCCAAAGCCATTTGCATCTTGGATGCATCTGATCCTCTATATAGCCTCTTATAATATCAGTTGTAGCTTAGATGTTTGCTGTGTACTGGCTTTCAAGACTACTACTAGGAGATACCGTTGTCGTGTTCTTACCTCTGTCATTCATTTGCTGCGTGACTCTGAGGAAATTGTATAGTATAGCAATTCTCAAACACAAATACCAACATTTAGGTACCTTGATAAATGACCTGATTTTGCATGGTCCTGTCGATTGATATCCTGCAGAAAGTGAGGTTGTATGTTGGGTGATTTGCTGTTAATATCCAAGTTTGAAAGTGGGGGCTGTACCTTCTGTGACTATGGCCCCATAATGATCAACCTCTTTCATAAAACATTACGGGAGTCAGGAGGAGAAACTAAACATGCAATATGCCTTTATTGTGAAGATTTGTATCTTTAATCTGGATAACGTGGGAGTTTGCATGTGGACAAAGCCTTTTCTGAGGATTCATTTAAGTAATATCTTCTATTCTCCATTTGTTTGCTGATGTATTCTGTCTTCCTTTTGCAAGTTGCCTCTGCAGTCGGTCAGTCATGAGCAGATAACAGGGGTTTTTGCATACACTGCCAGAAGTGATCTTTCCCAGGTGATTATTTCAATGACAGTCTTCCTCATTATACTGTGTGCTCCATTTATCACAAAGGCTCCTCAGCAAATGTTTATGAAGGCCTTAAAAAAGCAGATTTACTCATACAGTAATATATTACTGCCCTGTAATTCTCTTTTAATCTCTAATGATGTCAGTGATCATCAGATTTTGAGTGAACTGAGAGAGGTCAATTTATTGGATTATCTCCCCATGCAGGTCTTTGTTTGCAGTGTGCTTTTGGACTCTTAGCTACAGATTATGACAAGCTAAGTGAAGAAAACAATTCTGTAATTTGCAGTCATTCCACATTTAAAATCCTATTTTAGATTTAGATAGAAGCCTTGCCTTGTAGCATTTTGTAAGATAAGTGGGACCTTTGCAAGCTGATGAGAAGGTGGTGTTTGAAAATCCTGCATCTTCTCCTTAGATCTGAATCACAGTTTGGTAGTGTTGCTCTTTTTTTTAGTTGCTCTGGTGAAACTTCACCACCAAATAGCCAGGATTGCTTGCTCTCTTTCTTTTTAATAGGACGTTCTACTCCTTTGGGTCATGGAAATCTTTAAAATCTGCTTGTTCTGGTAGGAACTATCACTTCTTTCCAATCTAGAATTAGAACCATAGACACTAAACTGCTTCACCCTACCCCTGAATACAAAGATTTAAGTGTGAAGGATAACAGAGTAACAGCCTTTTGATTTAGACCTTCCCCTGAGCTTGGGCCCAGCTGTACTGTACACATTTCTGTGAGTAACCACAAGAAAAGGCATGCAGCAAGTTTGAACACGTTCCTCTTTGCTTTGTTTAGCAACATTTAGTGGACTTTTATCAACAATGCTAGTAAGTTACTATAAGATAGGGAAACACCTTTTACATAAATTCCCATTTAAACCATGTACATAACCATGACAATCAAGGCCATTTGTTTATGTGCTTCAGTATGGAATTAGGTCGCTAATCATCTGAATGGGTATAAAGTACAAAATCTAAGTGCTAAAAATGCAGCTTATTCCTGAAACGGGTCAGAGGCCACATAACCTAAGCTGGGTCTTCAACAAAAGGATGCCTGGCTGTTTGAGAAGTGCCCAGTGGCTAAATGGTACTCCAGAGTAATTGTAATTGGGCTTTGCATTAATTTTATATCTTTATGATCTAGATTTAAAGATATGATTGTGTTAAATTATAGTGGTTTTCCAGACCGTGGGACTGGTGTGTTGCAGAGAATGACATTCCTTGTGTATAGCAACTAAGACTACTATGTATTTGGGTTCCCCAGGTATGTTCATGTTTTCTGCACTTAATTTTTATCCTGAGCAATTTGAGTGCAGTCCTTTGCCTGAGGTTTTCAGGAGTCCAGAAGTCCAGCTGGAGGTGGATGTTGGAAGTCCAAAACAAACAGCCATTGTGCTTTGTCACAAGCATGTCAAGTTGTGACTCTGTGAGTGTACAACAGTCAGTCTGTGTGTACGTACAGTGGACTTGCTGCCTCTGCAATGCATTCTGGATGTACCCATACTACTGAGCTTACCCAGAAAGTTACTGTTTCCTTTTTCTCCCTCCACAAATTTTTATCTTTATTTTCACACTCGCTCCTGTGGGTCTTGCAAGGAAGCTGCCAGTCAGACTACACTGATGTCTTAGGAGCAAGCTCTGCCCAGGAGCAGAGTCTCAGAACCGGACAATAGAACTTCAAACACTCAGACCTACAATGGCACCCTAGGACAGACTTGCAGTATGGATCACATCTATTTCAATCTACTCTTCCCTGCAGTGTTCCCTCTCAGTACAACTGCTGACCTGTTATGAGAATAACTGCTGTTGCACAGGTTTGGGGGAAGGAGCTTGTCTCTTAATTTCCCCGAAAAGACAGACATAAATTTACTAGGGAGGTTACACGCGTTTTGGCAAACTGCTGCTGCAGCCTTTCTCATTAGAACTGGCTGATGTGGCACCCACTCACATCACAAGATGTGGCTGCATAGCTATGCAGCTCCAACTGTCAGACTGGGGCCGTGCCAGCTCTTGAAGAACACTACACAAAGGCTGTTGTACTATTATTTATGATTTGTGTTGAAATAGCAGTGGGGGACCCAAACTTCACTGTGCTTAGCAGTGCCTGAATGTACCATAGAAAGACAATCTCTGTCACAGTGACCTTCCAGTCTCCACAGACAACCTCAAGCCCTGGATGGTCTTGACTCTCACTTGCTTTCTCTGGCAAAGCTC